GACGAGAGAGAGAGAGAGAGGGGGTGGCGTTAGTGGGATGAACTCAAATGGTAGAGCTGTTAATAGAGAGAGAGAGAGAGGAGAATGTTAGTGGGATCCACTTGGAGATAGAGGCGGGGATTTAGGAGTTCTTTGTGCTCCATGATACGCCTTTCTCATATTTTTTCGGGTGATTCTTGTTGGTGAGAAGGGTAATTAAGTCATCCAAAAATTGGTGCATTTTGAATGTGGCGACCCTCTTCCGTTCCATTAAATCCACCGCCACTTCTTACCATTTATGATTTTGAGCAAATTACGTACCGGTACCTTTGAGAAAGGTCAGTGTGGTTGGATAGAGCTTAGGCTCTAAACAATCAAATTAGAGCCCACCTTCAAATAGTACCGAGATATCTGGTTTCAATATTGAAATTTTTTTTTTTTATAACCGTAAAATATATATTATCTTTATTTATAAAGTTTAAAGTTTCAAAATTAGTATAGATCGAGAGATCTATGAAAACTTTAAAATCTTGAAATTTGACGGTCCAAAAATACACTTCAAAACACATTATTTCTTAAACTTGAAATCCATTTTGTTCTCATGTTCATCCATCTTGATGTCGAGATGATCAATTTGATGATATTTAGGCATTAAAACAACCTCTTCTAGTGAAATTTTTGAGGTAGGCTCTAATTTGATTGTTTAGAGCCTCGGCTCTATATAAACTTTTTCCATTACTATTTGATGTCTCTTTCGGCAGAAATTACAATTTTTAGAAAAAAATTATAAAGTTGAAAATTGTGTAGAGATTTTAGAAAAATAAAGTGCTTTGTATGGAATGTTTACTGCATTTGCGTCTCCTAAGGCATTACGGAGCTGATTAGATTGGTGTTTCTCCAATAAATACCAATAGTCTACATTTTTTTTATTTGTGCCTAAGGTGTATAAAAGAAGAGAATCTCTATCTTTTGGTAAGAATAGAGATTTTAGGAAGAGAGAAAGTACAGATTGTTAGAAAGAAATAGAGACTCTTTCAATATTTTATTGAGAAATAGAAGAATTTTTTTTATCCAACTCTTTCCAAAAATTTGTGCATGAAGAGTAAAAAAAAGAATCTCCACCCTTTTCAAATATTTTGTGCATGAAGAATATAGATTTTAAGAAGAGAGTGAACAAGAGAAAATAGATATTTTAGGGAGAGAAAGAAAAAGATTGTTTCTATATCTTAATTTGAGAAATAAGACATTTTTTTTCCTTACTATTTGGTTCAAACTTCCTAAAATAGGTGCAAGAGAGAGAAAGATATGCCTGCTTATTGAGTATAGATTTTAGGAAGAGAGAGAGTAGAAATTTTAGGAAGAGAAAGATATATCGTTTCCATATCTTAATCCGTATCTTAATTTGAGAAATATCTAAGTATAGATTTTAGGAAGAGAGAGAGTAAAGACTTTAGGTAGAGAAAGATAAATTGTTTCTATATCTTAATCCATATCTTAATTTGAGAAATAAAAAAAAAATCTTATTTTTTGGTTCAAACTTCCTAACATGGATACCTCTCTCCAACTCGAATTTAAGAGAAAGAGAGAAAAATATGCATGCATAGCTAAAATTGTTTCCATATCCAAAAAGATTCCACATCCAAGCATGATTCCATGTCTCAATACATGTGCGCCTCTCTCTCTATCTCTCTTATTAGTTAGGGTTTTGATGTTATAGAAGTTAAAAAACCCTAAAGAGACCTTTCATTTAGTATTGGCATGGTCATGTTTGACAACTGTTTTTTATATCGAGAACTGGTTAGCTCAAAATAATGGAGCCCTTTATCGACCAAACCTGCAGCACTAAGGACACCCACAAATGTCACACAATTGAGTTTCAATCCCTGACCTTCCCTGTGTAAGAAGAGAACTATTGCTCCCTTTTCTTCCCCATATAAGTCAAGACCCACAATCATCGCAGTCCAAGAAGTTACATTTCTCTCAGGCATCTCGACCATTAAAACTAGCTATTGACTCCCACACTTTGAATACGTCTATAAGTGATGTTGCCAGCGGAATGCTTAACTTATGCCATGCTCACCCATTAAAGCATGTACCCATCGCCCTAAACTCTAAACCACCCATATGGACAAATCAATGTGATAGACACCAGTCTAGTTTCATTTGCTTTCACACCAATGAATTGCGTCTGTCTAAAACGCTTCAAGGTCTCAGCAAAACTACCAACACAAGCATACACCCCAATCATACAAGTCCAACCAATTGCATTTCTTTCAGGCATCTCTTTTAAAATTTTTTGAGCCTCTTCCACGCTTCTAACGAGGCCATAAGCATGCATCATCAAAACCCAATTCACTCAGGCAACTCATCAAAAAACTCACATTACTTTCTTAATACACCCACACTTTTCATACATGCCTAAAAAAGTATTTCCCTTTTTGTTGTCTCCGTCTTCCTTACTCTCAATAAGGCAAGTGTCTTTTACATTTTCCTTGACAATCTAGTTATTAGTGTTTTCTCCATGTCGCACGATTCATTAGTTTTAATGTGATTCTCTATTATACTTCTCATGGCGTGCGATGTTTTAGTTATGGATTGAAGCAAGTGAGAGTATGTGTTTACAAAAATGTAAAATAAGTATTTATGGCCAAAATATTTTTTAATTTTTGCCAAAATAATAAAAAACATATCAAACATATGACAAATATATTTCTTATTTTTTGGGATTGTTTATATTTTTAAATTTCTTTTAATATCCCCAAGTTGAGCTTAAATATTTTTCAGTCATTCAAAATGAAAGAAACATAATAAAAAAAATTACAAATAGATTTCTTATTTTTTTAGGATCTTTTGATATTTTTAAATTTTTTTTAATATTTGGACCCCCTACTCGGTACAATTCAGGCTTGGCCACTACCAAAGCCTGAGTAACATGGCCGAGTCCGTGCTAACTCATCCAATTTTTCAAGCAGTGGTTTATGTGATTGTTTTTAAGCTGCTATTATCATTATATAGTTAGCTTCATATACAATAACAGATTAACATGCAAGTGTACTCAATGCTTTGTGGGCCTTTTGTGGTGCAATGTTTTTGAAGCGGATATTGTCATTATATAGTTAGGTGCTTATACCATGACATAATGCAACAGTGTGTAATAGAGATAAAGATCGAGATAGAGAGAAATTTTAGAGGGAGAGAAATGAAAAGAAAATTATGGAGGCAAGGAGAATGAAAGAGAAAGAGAGAGAGAGAAAGTAAATCTCCAACACTATAAAAACAAAGAAGGGGGCTAGGAGAGAGGGAGAGAGATTGTTGCACCACAATATCTTTATTTTGTTGCCTGTGCAATCATATTGCCAATAGAATTGGCTTGCTTTTTGGCACTCTACAATCTCCACCAATGAATCCTGCACCAACTTAAAACAACATGGATTGATATAGGAAACAAATCAAATCACCACTATTCTTTCTCTTTTCTCCCTAAGAAAGAAGGAAGCATACTCATTCAAAAGTAAAAAACTTAGCTGTTGGTGTTTTGGTTTGAAAAATACTTGTGTATGTTTCAAAACAACAACATGGTTTCATGGTTTTTCCTAAGCTATATTTTGTAGAGAGAGAAAGCTGTGTGTTTTTTTTCCACATTGAATAGTAGTATTTCAGAGTAGACATTCATGTGCCTTATACTTTTAGTATGAAGGTGAGAGAGATGGTGCATGTGCGGAGCACGCGACACGTGAGACGTGCATGTGCGAGAGTGTGGGCACAAGGGTGCATTTCACATGCTCACATCGGTGTCCCTCGCCCTAGCACATGTGCGGGTTGGGCTCGAAGCTCAATAAATTTTTGTGAGCCTAGCTCGTACGGGATAGCCAACGGCTTTCTAGCTGTTGATGAAATAGAGGAAAAAGGAGGCTGCAACAACAACCATCCAGTGAGTTAAGGATACATGTAACCACTATTACAAGTGAATTAAGGGGTTGCATATAACTTGTAGATGTTGTTGGTGTGTGTAACCACTATTACAATAAATGTGAAATCACGTTATTGCTTTATATAATGGGGTCTTTCTCCCATACAAAATTGACACTTGATCAAACACTTTTGCATCTCTCTCAATACATCTTCTATGTGGTCTTGCTTGCCCAAAAATAAGAAGGAATCAAGTCTCGAATTTCTGAATTTGTAATATTTTTTACCCCTTTTCACTCACCAAATTTCCAATAATTCAAGATGATATTTATGGGTGAAAGAAATGAGACTACAATGACTTCTTTGAAAGTCATGAACCATGATTTCACGAGACTCGAGCACTTCAATGGGCTGAATTTCAAAGGATGGCAATAAAAGTCTTCTTTTTGCTTACTGCCCTCAAGGTGGCTTTCATAGTCACCGAGTCTATGCATGCACCACCACCTCCATCTGATGATTTGATCGAAGAGCAAACTCATGCTTACCAAAAATGAATGGAAGATGACTATATTTGCAAAGGTCACATCCTCAATTCCTTGACGAATCCAATCAGTGACATGTATGCATCGGTGGCCATGGCGATAGAGCCATGAAAACTACTTGAAACCAAATATTTCACTGAGGAATCTGGTAACAAAAGTTTCATATTTCCAATTTTTTAGATTTTAAATTCATTGAAAACAAGTCAATTCTTTCTCAAGTTTATGAGTTGCAGCTTATAGTCAATGAATTTAAAGATTGTAGAATTATGAGTTCTTTCTAGTGGGCACTATAATTCACATGCTACCCTCATCATGGAAATAATATTAAAAAAAAATGAAACATTAGAAAGTGGACCGTCATTTAGTTCAACTTCAAAGATCTCTTCGAATTGAAGA